TGGGAAATAAGCTGATTTCTCTGTCTGTTTCTGTCTCTTTCTCTGTTTGTTTGTGAAGCAAAAGGATGAGTAAATGTAGATTCCCCAGGTCTGTTCTCAGCAGCAGGAATGACTCCAGCCACTTGGAAGCCAACTCATGTGGCTTCTGCAAACTTGGTGATAACCTTTGGCATTTGCTCCCTTACCGGTCAGTTGGCAGCTTTTGTGGTGGCAGATGGGCAGTAGTGGTAACCTTAAACCTGGGGACCACAGGTTGCCCCAGTGAGATTCTCTCAGGTCTCCTGAGACTTCTCTGCCCTGTTCCCTTAGGATGAGAGAAAAGCTAATCTTTCAGTCACGGTCTCCTGGTTCTCTGAATCCTCTGGTAGACAAACATTAGGGAATTCTGTCTGCCAGTGGACATTGGGGTCCAACATTCTGCTATGCTTGAATGTGCAAAAACTTATTTAGCCATTCCCTAACCAATGGAAATGTACTTTGTTTCCCACCCCTGCTTTTTTTTTTCTACTACAAATAATGTGTTTTATCTGGTATTCTTCTTTTTACCAATTTAAAATTTATCAATTTTAAAAACAGAGAAAGAAAATTATAGACCAATTTCATTAATGAATATGGATGCAAAAATCCTAAATAAAATACTAGCAAAAAAATTACAACAATATATTCCAAAGATTATACATTATGAGCAAGTGGGTTCACACCAGAAATTCGGGGATGGTTTAGCATAAGGAAAACTATTAACATAATTGATTATATCAATAATAAAAGTAAAAAAATATATGATTATATCAGTAGACACAGAAAAAGCTTTTGATGAAGTACAATGCTAATTTTTATTAAAAAACACTTGAAAGTATTGGTATAAATGGTTTTTTTCCTGAAATTGATAAAAACCAAACTATCACGTCTTAAATGCTAAGTCCTTGGCTTTTTTTTTAGTCCTACTTGGACTCTACTCAGCTTTCAATATTGTGGACTCTTCCTTCCCCTTAGATAACTCTTTTCTCCTTGAAGTTTTACTAGACTGCTCTCCCCATATTCTTTTCCTATTCATCAGACTGCTATTCATCAGTCTTCTTGGCAGGATTACCCATGTCTTCATTCCTTTCCAGGCTGTACTACTGACTTATCTCTATAGGGTTTTCTCCACAAGTCTCCATTTCATGATACCTTCAAACTCCTCTCTAAGCTCTGTTTTATGTGTTGTCACTCCCTCATCAAGATGTAAGCTCTTTGAGGGCAGGGACTATTTTTTTCTGTTTGCATTTGTACTGCTAGCCTTAGTACTACTCTTGGCAAGAGTAGTAGACTCTTGATAAATCCTTGTTGACTAATGTGTCATGCCCCCTTAATAAAAGGATTTGTTCTGTAATACTTGGACTCAGTCAAGAGGGTGCACTCAAGGACCTGGAAGGCCACTGTGGCCTTCTAGGAAGCAGGTTCCGCACCTTGGTCTAGGCCCTCTTCTCTCTCTTTGTGTTCTCCTCTGAGCTCCTCTGAGCTCAATCATCACCTTGATGCAGATCACCCTCAAATCTACATAAGCAGCTCTAATTTCTCTCTTGACCCCTAGTCCTGAATCACAAATTGCCTGTTGGATAGCATCACTTGGGTGTTTGATAGACATCTCAAATTCATCATGGGTGGCTTGGTGGTGCATGGATAGAGCACAGGCTCTGAAGTGAGGAAGACCTGAGTGCAAATCAAGCCTCAGATACTTACTAGCTATGTGACCCTGGGCAAGTCACTTCACTTTGTTTGCCTCAATTTCCTCATCTATAAAATGAGCTGTAGAAGGAAATGGCAAACCACTCTAGTATCTTTCCAAGAAAACTCCGAATGGGGTGACAAAGAATCCTATAGAACTAAAAACAAGTCAACAACAGCAAATTCATTATGTCTAAGGCAAAACTTATTTGATTATCTTAATCATTAATCTTCCACTTGACTTCCCCATTTGCATTGAAGGTACCACCCTCCTTTCCACCATCCACTGTGCACTAGAATTATCCTCAGCTCTTCAGCTTCAACCTAATAGCTCATATTATCAAGCCTTGTTGATTTGACCTCTATTATATTCATTCCTGTTCTCTCACATGGTTTACTCCCTAGTTCAGGTATTTATCACCTCTTATCTGAACTTTTGCAGTAGTCAGTAGTCTCCCAAACTGATTTCTCTGCTTTCATTCTCTCTGCTCTTCAATCCCTTCTCCATACAACTATGCAGATGGCCTTCTTGAGACTAGGTCAGACATTGTCATTGTCTAGCTCAAGGAATTTCAATAGCTCCTTGTTGTTCCTAGGATAAATTGTAAAGACTCTTTTGTTTGGCATTTAAAGCCCTTCTGAATCAGGCTCCAGCCTGTTTCAAGACATATAAAATGTCTTTTTCCTCACGCATTCTATATTCTAGCCAACTTGCAGTTCCTCTCCATGGCATTAAATCTCTTCACTCTAAGTCTTTATAATTGGCTTCCCTAATGCATGAAATGGAAGTTGCTTAAGGACTATGACTGTTTTGCTTTTGTATTTCTATCCCCAGTGCCTACCTTGGTGGGAATGGTGGGGATGGAAGGAATGGAGGGATAAGAAAGTAGGGGGTGGTGGAGTGGGCAGTGTTCTGACTGACAGGAGATACTTAATAAAGTCTTGATTTGTTGATTGATTCTCCTTTCTTATCTCTGCCCCAGGGACTCCTAAATGTCTTTTCTAAGTCTTAGCTCAGGGGCCACCTCTTACATGAAGCCCTTCTTGAGTTCCCCACTTGTTAGTCCTCTCCATACACCCAAATAACAAGTATTTTACTTTGTACATATAGACTTTATATTTAGTGATCCTCCCACTAGACTGTACGTTCCTTGAAGGCAATGACTGATTTTTGTCTTTGGAACTCCAGTGCCTAGTGCAGTCTCGTACATGTAGTAAGAGCTGAATAAATGCTTGTCGAATTAGATTCAGACTCTAAAATTTTTATAAGAATGAATGATCCATTCATATATATTTTTTGGTATCTTTAATGAAAAAAATGACAAGGGACCACAGCTAGGCTCAAACAGATGATTTTCTACAAAAGATCACATCTTCAGTCACAGTTGATTGGGGCATTTAAAGGAAACCAGATGCTACTATGTTTATTTTTTTTTTTTAATTACCAGGAGAAAAAAAAAGCTTTTAACTTGCTAGATCAAAATGTCAGGAGTCATATGAAGACTCCTTGGTTTTTTTGGATCAAACAAGATTTGTCAATGGTTGCTACCATAAGAGCTAATTTTTCAGTGATTCTCCTGAGTGTGAACTTAAAGGGAGGCATAAAAGAGGGAGAATCTTGCCAAAGATTCTTGCCAGGGCTATGGAGTATGTTCTGTGCAAAGTCTAAAGGGAAGAGTAATTCTGATGGAGGGTGATGTTTTCCACATCTCCCATTTGTCAATGACTATACATCAAGGCCTAGAACATTACAAGTTGTCTTCAGGGAGAGTCATGGACATGCAATGGGAAATTTCCACATAGGAAAAAAAAAGTAGATGAAGAATGTAAATTCCATTAAGCATAACATGTATAGCTAGTCCATAAAATCAGCTCTTCTAAACATATGTTTTGCATAAGAACTTCAAAGGTCAATGAACTGGGTCCAAAATTGAATACAATAAAATCCTAGATTGTATTTGGGAAATTGAATAGCACTTTCAATGGTCCCAAACTTCTCTGTTCTTCAGAAGCTATCATTTCAACAGTGGTATTTTCCTGGTAATGCTATAGGACTTCAAATCATGGCACATGATGATCTCAGGAGAGTAATGACCATGTTGAGATTTCAGCATCAACAAAGTAGGCCAGATATATTACCAGTGATGATTTATGCCCAAGAAATGGCATAAATAACATTATATTATCATTTTGTGAGAAAAGTGCTTTTAAGTTTGCAAAGCAAGTTTCTCACAGTACTAAGAGGTAGATTATGATTATTACACTAATTTTATAGTCAAGGAAATTGAGAATCCAGAGTTGTTGACTTCTTTGTGTTCATATAGCTAATAAGTATCTAAGGAAGGATTTGAACATGAGTTTCCTGACCCAGGATCTATCCACTATACCACATAGCTGTCATCAAGAATATATATAATCATAAAAATAATTGAGCTAGTTATTAGTAATAAGTTTGAAAGGTAATTTCTATCCAGTCACAGTGGCTTATTAACCTCTGTATATATGACATTCCCATCTCACCCCTCTATGTCTTTATACAGTTCCCCCAGTGCACTTACTCCTCACCTCGGTCTCATAGAATCTTTAGTTTTTGTCAAAACATTCCTCAGGTCCCACTTCCTACATGAGGCCTTCCTTATTCCTCAAGTTATTAACCTTCTTCGCCTTAATTGATTTCACATTGCTTTGACTTCTTTTATTCTCCCTTCTCCCCCCAGCTAGAATGTTAGCTCCTTGAAGGCAGGGACTTGTTTTGGTTTTGTCCTATTTCCTAATTAGGCTTTGCCTAATTAGCTGCTTACTGTTTGTTCAGTTGAATTGGTTATCCAGGGAAACATTTCCATAGTCAAAAGAAGCTTTTCACAATTCATTGAATAGATCCATCTTGGAGGATTTCTAAAAGGATTTGGAGAAGAGTGGACTACTGCTAGAAGATATGGGCAGCTAGGTGGCTCAATAGACAGAGTACTGGGCCTGGAGTCAGGAAGATCTGAGTTCAGATGTGGCTTCAGACACTGACTTGTGACCCCGGGCAAGTTGCTTCACCCTCTTTGCCTCAGTTTTCTCATCTGTAAAATGAGCTGGAGAAGGAAATGGTAAAATACTCTAGTATCTCTGCCAAGAAAACCCCAAACAGGATCGTGAAGAGCTGGACAGGACTGAAAGACTGAACAACTAGAAGATACAATAAGGTTGTAAGCTGCGCTGGTAGGGAGTGTCTCCAGACCAATGACATCAAAGCACCATCAAAGTATCTGTGAACCACTGAATTATACTTACAATTACTTACTTACAATTAGCATTGCAGGGAAGCCAACTGAATTTTATCTCTTCTCATTCTCCTAGAAATGTACATAAGGAACTTTTGAAAATCTATTGGTACATGGTAAATACATCTTAAACAATTTTAAATCTTTGTCAAATAGCTTATTTAAGATAACTCTTCCGGTTAAGAATGGAAGCATTGCAATTTGAATAGAGTTCAAGATTGCTTGAATTCTGAAAAAGATAATAAATTCCAAAGATGTGCCCCTTTTTTCAAATACTCTGAAATACATCTAATTCTGATGTGTTTTCCTTAATAGATTTATACCTATGTAGATAATTAAGTGCTTAGTGTTGAAGTCTTATCTGCTACACTGTAATCTCTTTGCGATCTGGGATCATGATTTATTTAGCTTTGATTTCCTCCCAGCAACCCTAAACATTGTAGCCATTTTATAATTATCTGTTATTGTTATAAACACAATCATTACAAATGAATGTTTATTATTAACTAATGATTTTAAAAAGCAAAACAAATCTCCAAAAAGATAGTTAAAGTGAATGGAATTTAATCATTAAAAATGGCAGCATTCTTGAGGGGTTTATAGTAAAATAAAAAACACAAATGAGAGATTAGAATGACATAAACAAGGTCATTTTTCTGCATTCCCCAGAGGCCAAATCTAAGAGATCAAGGTTTAGGAGATAGTCTCTAGCCAATGGGAGACTTCAGAATATTTTTGTTCAGACACAGTGACATAACTTTCCTTGTTTAGAGAGTACATTCTAGACATAGGGAAAATTAAATGTGAATTCTGCAAACCATAAATTCAAAGCACATTCCTCCAAAACAAAACAAAATGAGTGTAAGAAAGACAATTTCAAAATAACAAGCCCTATTGATTCTTCCTCCATGGCATCTGTCCATTTCCCTAGCCAATAGACTTGCCTTCCTGTCTTTACTCTGATCCATTTTGGATACTGCTGCTGCTAAATTAATTTTCTTAGTTGCTATTTTCATAATGATTATTTTTCTGTTCAAGAACCTATAGTGACTTTTTATTGCCTGATCAAATCCAGATTGTTCCACTTGTTTTATAATGAACTTCAATTGTCACCATCTTATTTACCTTTCCCAGCCAAATTGCTCACCACCGAACAGTTTTTTGGCTTCGTCCAGACCCTTCCACTTATTGTGTATTATCCTGCTCATTTAGGTGGCACAGTGGGTAAAGGCTGTGGACCCAGAGTCAGGAGACTGGAGCTCCTAAATCAGCCTCAGACACTTGCCTTGTTGTCCTAGACAGGTTACTTAGACTTTCTGCCTTAGCTTCCTCAAATGTAAATTAGGGATAATTATAGCACCTCCCTTTCAGAATTGTTTTGAGGATAGAACTGTGATAATGTTTTTAAAGTGCTTTGTAAACCTTAAAATACTGTATTATTATTGCTATTATTCACATGTCTGCTCAAGTTGTTTCTCTTGTCTAAAAAATCTTCCCTCCTACTCTCTGCCAATCTAAATTGTAAATGTCTTTCTTGGTCCAGTTTAAGGGATTGTTTCCTTCAAGGGAGGCTTTTTTGACTAACCCTACCCAACCATATCTCTTTGTACATATGCATACCACACTGGTATGGTACTTAGTGTGCCAAAGGATATTGTAAATTCATTGAAAGTAAAGCAAAGTGTCTTCTACTCCTTTATTTCTTTATTCTACTTCTACTTCTTTTTATTCCCAAATCCCAAATCCCCCCCCCAAAAAACACCACCAAACAAACTTTGTTTCAGATTAAATCAGCTGCTCCTCAACTTAATACTTCATCTCCTACTGGATAAATGAACAAGCCATCTCCCAAGCCTGAGTCACACTCCCTCTGCACTTCTGCTTCTCAGAATCCTTATCTTCCATCATGTCTCAGCTCAGGTGCCACTTTTCCCATGAAGTTTTTCTTTGTTGATCACCATTTGTCAGGGTTTGTTCCCTCCTCAAATTACCTGATATGTCACTTACTTGTGCTTAAATTGAACGTGTACTGAAGACCCAATTGTTTCTCTTTTATTGACGATTCATGATTTCTCACCGTTGATTATCAGCTTAGCAGTATATATTACTGTGGGCTACAGTTCAAGCTTCCCAGTTTTTTGGAATATACTGTTTTATTCTCTTCTTAAATTTCTTATGACCGGGAGTAATCTCCAGTTATTCAAATTGGTATTCATTCATCACTGAAGGTTTCTCCTGGATACTTGTAACATTTGTTGTTGTGGTGGTGTTTTTTTTTTTGTTGTTGTTGTTGTTATTGAAATTGTGACATTTGACCACCTAGGAATTTTTAAGGGTGTGTTTTTTTTTTTGTTTGTCTTCTAGCAATATTCTGTGGATGCTATTGATAAAGTACTTTGACATCTGTATGCAGAATTTGGGCAGCTGACTTATATTAGCTACAGTGTTATTTAAGTTCTTTGAAGTATCTGTTCTTCATGGAGGCCTGAAATCCTTAAATTATCTCTGCATCTGTCTTCCAGGTTATTTGACTTGGACATTTAGAATTCACATGTCCTTTTAAGGCTTTGCTTTTCTTCTGTCAATTTTTTTGCCACTTCTTTATTTTTTGTTTGCTAAATCTATTTTTTCCCCCAGAACCTCTCCTTTAGAGAGATCTCCATTATGTGTTGCTTTTCTTTTTAAATTCTTCTTTGAGAATTCTGACTTCTCAATTTCATTTCTAATATTTTCATTTAAAATTTTATTTTTCTTTTAAAGCATCCTGTAGTGTCTTGCTATTATTGCATGATTTCTGGGTAATTTTCAGCATTTTTTTTTTATTCGGGAAATTTGGCTAATTTTCCATAATTTTCCATGTTTTGTGGTCTTTCTTTGCATTCTTACTCATTTTACCTTCTGTCTTTATGAGTCTTCCTGCTGGCTTGCCTGCTCCGGGACTAGGTTTTTAATTAGGCTTTCCCTTCCAGACTTTTGTCCTTATTTTGTATTCCTAGTTCCATATTTCTAGTTTCTCCTCTCATACTTTGTCCTGTCCTCTTCCCACTGCTGAAATTATTTTCCCCAACACTGGCCTTCTCAGCTTGCTCCTGTTGGAAGAGCTGATGCATGGCCCAAGAACGAACCCTGGGAGATGACCCAGCTCCAGTTGGGTGTCTAGTCCCCTTTCCTTCAGATACAGTTTATCCTCCTTTACCCAGCTTGACACTGCCCTCTGCACTGCTCAAGCTTTCACACTGCTCTCTCTTTTCTTTAATCTGGCTGGGCAGAATCAATTCTACCATCACTTGTGGGATGTTTTGGGGTGGTGGGGAGGCACTAATGCCATAGCTGGTCCCTGAAGCACAATCTTTGTAAATTTGTGTGTGCTGATTGTGTCAAGGAGAAGAGGGTGAACGATAGTGTTAAAGACTGTAGAGAGGTCAAGAAGGGTGAGAAATGGGGAGAGTCATTAGATTTGCCTATTAAGAAACCATTAGTAACTTTGGAGAGAGCAGTTTTGGTTGCATGATGAGATTGGAAGCTAGACTACAGAGAGTTAAGAAGAGAGTGAGAGGAAAGAAGTAGAAGCACCTAGTATAGATGGCCATCTCAAGAGGTTTAGCCATAAAAGTGAAGAGAAATATGGGACAATAACTATTGGGGAATGGGTGTTTTTTGAGGATGGTGGAGACATGGGCATGTTTGTAAGAAGGGAGACAGCCAGTAGACGGGCTTGGGACTAAAGTAAAAGAATGAGGATGATAGAAGAGGCAATCTGTAGAGAAGACAGGATGGAATAGGATCACTTGTTCATAGGGTTACCTTATTATGTGAAACAGGAATAAAAGAAGAGACAGTGGTAGAAGGTATCTGAGTGATATGAGATAAAGAGGAGGGAGAAGAGGGAGCTGTCAGAGAATGGCCTTAATTTTTTCAGTGAAATATGAGGCGAGGTTCTCAGCTGAGAAGGTGAGGGGCAGGCTAAGCCATAGGAGACTTGAGAGAGGATGGAGAGGTTTGGAAGAGTCATTGTGGAGCGTAAGATAGTGAATTGATAAGGGAAGTAAAGTAGGATTGCCTAGTAGCTGTGAAGATGTGGGTGAGAATATGTAACATAAACTTACAGTGGACCCAGTCAGCCTGGTTTTGTGAGTTTTTTTTCCACCTTCATTGAGTAGCACTTGTGTAGGAGCAAATGCAGCAGATTATGGAAGTTATCTTAGGCTGGGAAAAGTCAATTAAATGATAAGGGGGCTAAGGACTTAAGAAGATGACATGTAGGGTTAAATTGATTCAGCAAGGGATCAAGATGGGCCAAAGAGGAGAGAGTGGTTAGTGCAGGGGAGATGGCCTCGGAAAAAAAATGAAGGGATTAGAGGTCAAGGTATGGATAAAAAAATAGAGTTTTGTAAGGAAAAGCAGAGGGAAGGATGAAAAAAACCCAATAAATTGTGACTGGCTAAGGGGATTTTGGAATTCTTATTTTTTTTATTTTTATTTTTTATTTTTAGGCAGTTGGCGTTAAGTGACTTGCCCAGGGTCACACAGCTAGTAAGTGTCAAGTGTTTGGCCTGAGGGTGGATTTGAACTCAGGTCCTTCTGACTTCAGGGCCAGTGCTCTATCCACTGTGCCACCTAGCTGCCCCTATTTTTTATTATTATTATTATTTTATTATTATTTTTTATTTTTAAGATTTTAGAATTCTTGAACATGAAGAAGGAAAGATAAAGGATATGACTGTTTTTGTGTAGTTTAGGTGGGATGGAGGAGTAGGTCATGGAAAGTGAGTAGGTGGAGGAATTGAGTTGTTAGAAAGTTTGAGGGGGGAAGGGGAGCAAGGGACTCAAGAAAAGAGGACAGTATAGAGTTGATTAGGCTCACCAAGGATTCAAGATGGGGAATAGAAGAAAGGGTAGCTGGTGAAGGGTGATAGTCTGGGAAAGACTTGAAGGGTTGAAGGACCGGAAGTCACTTTGTGGACAACAAATAAAGTCTGGTGATACAAAGCTGAGGGAGAAGTGGAATGGCAATAGTGGTGATAAGATAAGGGAATTTCAGAGTCCGTGAATATAGAAATGGTGCATTTGTG